AGCATGCATCAAAGCAAAAGTTAATGTTTTTCTAATGGGTAACAATTATTATCTTGTAGCTTTCAGGAACCAGTCTAAGCTATTCTTGGCTTTAAACAACTACCTTTCCTATAAAGAAATAGTATACCCAATACATTTGTGTTATGCCTTCTACTAGACAAAGCTGCATTTTGCTCATTATAAGGACCGCATGCTCCCATTTTTATCAGCTTGATATAGTTAAGCAACCCTGCATAGTTTAACTAACCTATGTTAATCCTGTTAAATGCAAAAAAAAAAAAAAAAGCTAAAAGGGATTGAAATTAGCAACAGACTTTTCATTTTCCTTTATGCATAAAGATCTTTGTTTCTGCAGTTTATGCTTCATCATTGAGGACCCAGATTGTTGGGGGCAATGCGCTGACTCTGTAAACTGCTTAGAGAGGGCTGTAAAGCACTGAGAAGCGCTATATAAGTCTAAGTGCTATTGCTATTGCTATCATCCACTCACTTTTAACACTCTTAATAAGTTAATTGGATTCAGAGATGGGTTACAACAGGAGACCTCAACCAACTCTTGTAATCATGACATCCACTGCTGTATTCATTATAACTTCAGGTTTACTTCCATATCCATGGACTTTGGTGTGCTTAAATGTATCTAACATCCTCTTTTAGAAACAATGCTAAGAGGGTACAAGTACAAAAGCCTTGTTCTTTTTGGTTGCAGAATCCATTTCAAATTTCCTTCAAGGACTGGCAAAATTTAACTGCCATGCCTGCAGCCGGTCCAGGGGGAGGATGCATGGGAAGGTTCTTTACATATTTCATGCAATCATGCAACGTCACATGTTGTCTCCATCTCAGTCTGCATTGACAGAGGTCTGTGGTATGCTGATAAACGGCCTGTATTCTCTGCCTCTGCACTTGGCTTCAGGTTACAGGACTGTTAACCAATTCAAATCCTTCCTCTCTGTCAGTAAAAAGTTGGTGAATGGGACAACAAAATCCAGCTAAGACAGTGTCATCTCAAGACTGAGAAATCTAGGGTTTTCTCATCAAGGGCACTCCATGGAGGGACTGATAGAATGCAATATTCAAGATATAATTTCTTAAAGTAAAAATATAGCTATTATACTGTATATTATTATGTTATATTATAATTATATTTATTGAATAGTATAATATAATATAATATTGTATTGTATTGTAGTGTGTTGTGTTGTGTTATATTATTATATATTATACTGGTAGCCCTCGACTTACAAGAGTTCATTTACTGACCGTTCAAAGTTACAACGGCACTGAAAAAAGTAGACCTAGGTCTGTTTTTCACATTTATAACTGTTGCAGCATCCCCACGGTCACATGATTTACATTCGGATGCTTGACAACTGTCTCACATTTATGACTGTTGCAGTGTCCTGGGGTCATGTGATCCTCTTTTGCAACATTCTGACAATCACAGTCAATGGGAAAGCCATTGACTAACTTCAAAACTGCAGTGGTTCACTTAATAAACATGGTGAGAAAAGTCATGAAATGGGGTAAAACTCACTTAACAAATTTTTCACTTAACAACATAAATTTTGGGCTTAATTGTGATCCTAAGTTGAGGATTACCTATACATTATATTATATATCATATATTAATATATTAATTAACTACATCTATAAAGCAATTGATAATTTGTTAAGCTATTATTGCTAGACTTACCAAATAGAGGCAACACCCTAGGGAAATTTTTATTTTATTTTTTGCTTCCAAGGATTTTTTAATTTGGCCTCTCCCCGTCCCTTTGAAAAGTCATTTGTGTGATTATGATCTCGCATGGCTGCAAGTTGTACATGAGTGAAATAGACACATGGCAATAGAAGATCATATCACTTGGGAAATTCTCATCTGAAATGACACCTGGTGCCAATTGTTTGTCTCCTTCCTCAAACTATGCGCCCTCCCAGAAGTGCTCATCTAACAAGAAAAAAGTAGCTTCTATGCAGCTGAAGGAAAACAAAAATTCAACAGATCAACATTACAGAAGCAATTTTAGTTCTGAACAAGGGGTAGAACAAAGAACTTCATCAAATTTCCAGTTCTTTCTTTTGTGGTGCCAAACAGCTCCCAAAATGTGGTGCCTTGGCACTGAGAAAGTATTTTGAATCTAAGAATATGTTTATATTCCTGCTGCCAGTCCTTGAGCACACTTGCCATATCTTGTTTTCCTCCTAAGAACCTGCTTATTCAGCTCACACAAAAATTAAATTAGCGCAAGGCAAAAGGTTCTGAAAATGACAATTATCTTTTTGCCAAAAGACCAGATTAGTGCTGAGAAACAGCTTTCTTGCTGATTCATCAACATGCTATTCCATAAAGTACCATGTTTCTCATAAAATAAGGCTAGGTCTTTTTTTTTTTTTTTTTTTGAGCCCCGAAAAAACGGCTAGGATGTCTTTTCGGGGGTGACTTAATTTCTTCCCCCATGCGCACCTCCACCTAGAGCGCCTCATGTGCATTCACCTCTCCATGAGGCCGCCACTGGAAGCTCCCCAAAGGTAGAGTCACCAGCCGCTTCTATTGGCCGGTAGAAGCAGCCTCGAGCACCCACGTGCATTCACCTCACCGTGAAGCTGTTTCTATCAGCTGATGGAAGCTCCCCAAAGGCAGAGTCACCAGCCGCTTTGGGCTGAGGCGTGGCTGCCGGCAGGGTGTTCCTGAGAGGAGCGCCCCACGCGCACTCTCCTCGAGGCCATTTCTATTGGCCGATGGAAGCTCCCAAAAGGCAGAGTCACCAGCCGCTTCCATTGGCCGATAGAAACGGATTTGTGGCAAGGGGAGTGCGTGTGGGAGAGCGGCTGCAAACTTTTCTTAGCAGAAGGGAAGCAAGCTGAGTTTCTCTCTCTCTCTCTCACATACACACACAAACACAAACACCACCCCTGCTAACCTTCATCCCTGCACCTGGTCAGCCAAGCCCTTCTGGCGGGGGAAGGTCTCAGCATCTGCAGGGTTCCCACCGCCGCCCTCCCCTCCCCAGGCCAGACCTTTTCTGGGCACCCTGCCAAAGTCCCAGGGCAGCCAAACTCCTTTTACCTGCTGCCGCCGCTGGTTTGGGGAGCGGGGGGGGCTGTCAGGGAGGGAAGAGGAGGCAGCAGAGCTCGGCTACCCTTAGAAGGGAGATCGGGCGGGCTCCCAAAAGGAGACATGGGAGCAGTCCTCATGGGAATGCAGTGGGGAAGCGGGGTGAGTGTGAAAGGGTCGCCGCCACGGCACAGGAGGGTGGGAGGGAGCTGGAGCAAAGAAGGGCCAGGAAGAAGCTAAACCATCCTTTCTATTGCTTTGGTGAGGGATGAATATTTGCAGGGGCTGGTTGGAAAGGCCTAATTTTAGTATGAACCTTGAGTCATGGGGGGGAGTTGAATGGCGAAGGCACTCTGCATATGATCCGAGGCAATCCTGCCACAGCTCACGGGTGGCGCTGCTAACAGTTGTGGGGAGTCTGAGAACTTCACCAACGCCTTTTCTCTTTCTCTCTGAGCGCCCGAAAGAGCGCCCGTCATTAACCAATTAACCAATGCCAGCCTCGGAATCCCTTATTTTGGCATAATTCAGGATGAGAGAGGAGCCGTAAAACCAGGGACTTGGCGACGAGGTGCGTTGTTTTTTTTTTTTGACTGAGTTCAATCACAAGACATTTCTGGATTTCATCAGACGTCCAAGGCGTTCAGAAAAACTTTTGAAAAACTTGCGGGTCTAACTTTGAGAAGCAATGAGTTCGGTCCTCTCAAATGGCGGAGGTAAGGGACTGTCTTTGGAGACCTCCCCTCTCCTTTGGCTGAGGGAGACCTGGGCGATTTTAGGCCAAAAGCTGCCCCGGAGAGATTGATCAGAGAATGGGCAGGAAAGCAAAACAAGAACACATTTGGGCTAAGGCCTTTTCTCCCATTCCGTCGCAATCTCACAATTTTTATCCAGATACAGATACATGTGTGCTTTCTCTCTTGCCCTGCTGGTAGATTCGAAGACAACTAATGAGCACTCCCCTCACCACGAGGCCGTTTCTATCGGCTGATGGAAGCTCCCCAAAGGCAGAGTCACCAGCCGCTTCTACCGGCCGATAGAAGCGGTTGGTGACTCTTCCTTTGGGGAGCTTCCATCAGCCAATAGAAATGGCCTCATGGCGAGGGGAGTGCACACAAGCGCTCGCCCCGAGGCCGCTTCTACCGACCGATAGAAGCAGCTGGTGACTCTGCCTTCGGGGAGCTTCTATTGGCCGATGTTCTATCGGTAGTAGATCAGGGTATTCTAGCCTAGGCTACCTGCATGGCACTCCTAAAGGCAAGTTTTCTCCCCTCCTTCCCTTCCCCACCATTTCTCTTCACCTCGTGTAGTTCTAACGAACGATGTGAGAAATGGTGGGGAAACGCATGGTTTAAATAGGCCTAAATTTTGGGGGCGGGGCTTAATTTACCTCATGCCTAGAAATCATGCTGGGCCTTCCTATTGGTGGAGGCCCTATTGTTGGAGTAACACGGTATTAGAATTCACACTAATAATATGTATAGTAAATTACTGGACCCTACTTTAGACTTTTTAAATGGCTATTTTTGTGAGACAAATTGTTGGGATACAGACATAGGTAAATTTTTCACTTCAGTGTAGTAAAATATTAGAGTGGTCCGCATACACTTATTATGGAATGATGTTTGCCTGCATGCTTTGTAACTTCTTTGTAATTATGAGTTCAGAGATCATTTCTCTATTTTACATCAGTTTTAAAGGGCAAAGAGATCACAAATGTTCCAATATCCACAGCAATTATTAAGGAAATGATAAATATTTTATTATTTCTCAGCCAAACATTCACAATTCATTGATCTTAACAGAATTTGAAGAGCATATATATGTTATATAATGATATACCTTTAATTGCCAAGATACTAAAGCTATTAATCGATTATTACCAAAGACAAGAAATTTAGCAATACCCATATGAGAAAAACTGCTGGCTAGAAAGAAATTTGGAACCAGATTGTGTTCATTACAGTTCAATTGTTACACGAAATTGGATAGTCCCGTACTATTGATTAGAAAGTACTTTAATAGCATTAGCTCCCAAGAATAAAAATGTAACAGATATCAACTGTTTTCTCTCACTTATAAACATGTTCGCTCAAGAAAAAGTTTCATCCAAAATATGTATATTATAAACAAATATTTCCTCCACATTCAAATCACACATAATAGTTAGTTGTTTCAACTTTTAAGTAAAGGAGGTAGTAGAAGCTACTCTGGCTTGGCTAAAATATCCAATATCCAGACATTTAAAACAGCCATATAAAGTTATGGCAGAAGGAACTTCATGCCATAAAAATTAAGTCAACTTCATTATCAAAGTTCATAACATGGTTCTAATTTTATTACTTAGTGCAAAATAAATGTCTTTTCATCTTCAACAAGGAAAATAATGCATCTTCAAAATTTCAAAGCATCTTCAATCATCGCTGTCACTTCCAGAATCACTCAACTGGAGATCATTTCCTAAAATCAAAATGGCAAGTTACACCATAGTAAAGAAGCATTAGCAATCAAATCCAACAGCATAATCTAAATCCGGACTCTGTGCTTTTCACTCTATATCTTGCATTTCTTTTTACAATAAAAGGCACAGGGCTTCCAATCACTGATCTCTGATTTTATCTTTTAATCCTAACACACAGGATCCACCAGGCTTTCAATAGCTTTCAATATTACTCAACCTTATTGAATTTGTCAATTAAAATAAAGGTCAGCTTTTTGAGAGGGAAAGTAACTAGTTACAAGTGATTGCAATTTAGCCTTCACAAAAAGTTTGAGGAATGGAACTACAGTATGACATGCAATAGAACAGACAATTGCATTAATAATTGTCCTTGTCAAAATACTGTTTGGTGGGTGGCAATATTAGTAAAATACTAATTGGGAGAAGTTATTTAGAGTTTATCTTCTATATTTAGGTTAATTGAGAAAGAAAGGACTTCTGGCCAGACATATAGGTATAATTAATGATGAGCAAGATTACAAACTAAAAGGGAAAGTCTATGAACATATATTGTAATATTTGGGGAGAAAGATTCAGAAAATCATATATATTCCCTAGTATTTACAGCTTTTATGCAACTCTATAAATTTGGATCGAATTCAGATATCCACCTTCAGGCACTGTACAATTCTATCCTAACAAGATAACCAGAAGCAGAATTAGTTATATTTAGGGTGATTTTAATGTTTAAACTTTAAAATACTAACATTTTAAATATCCTTTAAAGACACTGCCATTTTTATCATAAGTGTAGACATGAGAAGTATAATTTGCAAATAATATGTTCCACCTGAGGACATAAATGAAATCTTGTGCAATTCTATTTTTTTCAATATAAAGCAGAAAAAAGAATTCTTTTTAGAAACATTTCAATGGCAAGTTGTGACATAAGATTGAAGGGTCATCAGTTCAGTATACTGGCTATGAATACTCGGGTCAGAAGCAATTTGAAACATTTTTTTTTTTACTTAAAATTTGCCCCATATACATTAAGAACACATTTAATACATTTCTTTGCCCTAGAAGCAAAATAGAAACTATTTTTTAAATAAAAGAAGCATTTAAATATAGAAATGTGGGGTAATTAATACTAAAAATTAACTGTTTCTTTGAAATTTCTCATATTATATTTAATTATATAATATTTATATAGAAAGAATAGTAAGATGGCTTACTATTGCCACAAAAGATTATGTTGCATTATAAGTTATCAACAATTGTACTTCATCAACCCTATAGTGTTAACAGAGCTCAAACAAAATGCCAAATGATACAATTATTTTGTTCAAATTTCTAGTCATTCGATCATTCTCTCATGCTCTCCAAAATTTTCCTCCCTGTTATTCATCATAGCATTAAGCATGTTCAGTTTTCTTGGGCTGTTTTCTCACCTACTTGGGATATAAAGTAAACGTATAGCGCTAATCCTACCTAAATCAAAACTTTGCTGTTTCTCACTGGGTTTTCTATGCAACTGTCAATTACATCACTAAAAGCTTTTAAAAATAGCTTTTCAGGTGGCCCAGGAAATTACCATATATATGCTCATATAACTTTATAAAATCTTTTGCTTTATTATATTTTTTGCCTTATCAAGTTCATATTGAGGGCCAGTTTGGTCAAATGGTTAAGGCAGCAGCCTAGAAAGCAGGAAACCATGAGTTCTAGTCCCACTTTAATTATGAAAGCCAGTTGGGTGACCTTGGGCCAAACATCCTCTCTCAGCCCAATGTACATCACAGGTAGTTGAGGAAAATAGATTCCAGTAAACTGATTTGATCTTCTTGATACAGTGAAAAATTTTAAGAAAGCCAGTTTTCTTTCTGAACTTTAATTTTGTCAACCTTCAAACCATCAAGATTTTCTTATAAGACTTTTAAAAAGTCTCAATGAGGCAATAAAATTAAATAAATTGCCAGGAGAATAAATAACTCTTTATTAGTATCAATTGTTATATAATCCAAGACATTTCTAGAGAACACTAATAATGAAGTCCGACAATAGTGTAACTGAATAAAGATACAGTACATATTATAGATACGTACAGATTAGCACAAACTAAACAAAAGATTGGGTGGCATCATTTTTGGCTAGCATTGACAGTTAAGCTACAATTTATATGTCCAATGTTCTTGATTATATATGATATTCCAGAACCAAGCAGGAAAAATCCTCTGGTCTATTTTTGGATCAGGAAAATAAGGTAGGAATCTACCATTTACATATGACACGCCAACTTGCGTTTTACCTAAAATGTTTCATTTTGGGAAGTGTATATAAAAAAAACAATTATCCTATAATTCTACAATCATTTATACTTTCTATCTATCTATCTATCTATCTATCATCTATCTATCTATCTATCTATCTATCTATCTATCTATCTATCT